CACGTTCGAGCAGAGAGTATGAGATCGGCGACTGTGGCGAGGTTCCGTCCTCTCATGTTCCTGTGTTGATCGGAGAAGTTGTCGACGTTTTCTCTTCGGTTCACTTGCGAAGCTTCGTTGATTGCACACTTGGTGCTGCTGGTCATTCTTCTTCTGTAAGTATCTTCTTCTAATTTCAGAAATTTGAGCAATTTAATCACTGATTGAATTAGATTTGTGTGTTTATGGATGTTTTATTGTTGGATATGTAAAGCAGATTGTGAATTTGTGGTTTTTGTGTTTCAGATTATTCAAAGCCACTCTGAAATGAAGCATTTTGTTGGAATGGATGTTGATCCTGTGGCTCGAAAACTTGGTCATTTTCATATTGATTCTCTCATGCATCCAACTTTGAAGGCTTCTATTGTGTTGAAGAATTTCAAATACATCAAATCTGTGATCGCCGATACGCATCCGGAGTTGTTAGATGTAGGTGTTGATGGCATTCTTATGGATTTGGGAATGTCATCTATGCAGGTAAAAGTTGTGTTTTCTCAAGCAGCTGTTTCTTGTTTTCCTTGTATTGTTGACATCTCTCTCACACATGATTGTAAAATCTTTATCTAACAGGTAAACAATCCCGATAGAGGGTTTAGTGTTCTTCAAGAGGGACCTCTTGATATGCGCATGGATCCTCAGGTGAGTTATATAGACAACTGAACGAAACTCTGACCTTCATGCTTTTGAGTCACTTGGGAATTTTTGAAGAAGTTTCTCTTAACCTATCTGCTAACATTTGACAGGCTACTCTGACAGCGGAGGATATAGTGAATTCTTGGCCAGAGTCTGAACTGGGGAGAGTTCTACGGGATTATGGCGAAGAAAGCAATTGGTATGTACTTCAAAATAGAATTGTTAAGGCTCGGCTTAATGGCGGGTTACATTCTACGGGTGAACTGGTGGATCTCATTCGGGGCATGTCACCACCAAGCAGAGGTATATATTCTCTTTCTTTGGTTATTGTAATTTCTATCTTGGGCTTTCTTGATCTGCATTTGCATCTCAATGCAAGTTAGTGTTCTTAGTTAAAGATTTGGTCGCCAGCTGCAGAACACAGAAGAGTACTATAAACGAGTGAACCAGTCATTAGAACATTTTAGAGTTTTCACTGTAGACGAAAGATGAAGAATATCAATCCTTTTAATCTCTTTTTGACTCCCATTGAAATGATGTAGGAGGCAGACAAGGATGGATAAAGACAGCAACACGTGTATTTCAAGGCCTAAGGATTGCAGTGAACGACGAACTCAAGACGCTACAAAACTCTCTCTACTCATCTTTCGATGTTCTCTCTCCAGGTGGGAGACTAGCAGTAATCTCCTTTCACAGTCTGGAAGATCGGGTTGTGAAACAAACGTTCCTCAACATTTTAGGATTTCAAAGGGTAGAGATAAACACGGAGGTGAGTTTAAAACCGGAAAGGCAAATCGAAGAAAGTATAGTGAAGGAACTAAAAGAGAAAGAAGCTTGGATCAAACAGACTGTAATTGGTTCGAAAGGAGTAATACTGACAAAGAGACCAATAACACCTTCAGAGGAAGAAGAGAGATTGAATCGAAGAGCAAGGAGTGCTAAGTTAAGAGTGATTCAGAAGTTGTGAGTTATTGCTCTAACAAATGTTCCTTCTTTGTTAGTTTTTCTTTATTTATGATTCCATTTTCCAAGGCAGGCTCTAGATTGCTTGTAGAATTTACAGTTCCAAGCTCATTTATATACTGAACCGATTAAACCGATCTAAACCAAATTATTGATTAGTTTTATTTTTCTGGAACGGATAGATACCAAATAAGAGTGTTTTGCTGAAACTCATATTTGAACCAAAACCAATATCGTATTAAACCAAAACATTTTTTATTCGAACCAAGCCGGTTTAAATGTATATATTCTTTGACCATACCACATAATCTGACTGTTGTCGCCGCAGAAAAACCAGTTCGACCTCGAAACCCTTCTTCTCACCAATGGGAGCAATTGATCTCTCTTTCTCACAGAGTCTCCTCTTATCTCCGTCGCGTGCCAATACTACCTACTCCAGCCACCGTTCCGTCTCATTTCTCCCGCCGGGAAGCAAACCACGGTGTCTCCCGCCGTTGCGTTCAATGAGCCATGACGACGACGACACTGCCTCAAAGGAAGCGAAGCTTTGGGGTGGAAGGTTCGAGGAGAGTGTCACAGAGAAAGTCGAGAAGTTCACCGAATCAATTTCATTCGATAAAGTTCTTTACAAGCAAGACATTATGGGTAGCAAAGCCCACGCTACAATGCTAGCTCACCAGGTAGTTCTACTCATTTCCTTTACTTCCTGCATTCTTTAATCACAAGATTTTGGGCTAATTTCATTTTCATTTGTAATTTTTGTGGTGATTGTTGGTTAATCTTTACTTAAGGCAGATGCTTAGTTGTTTGTTCCTGATGGTTTTTTGAGATTGAAGCTTCTTCTCTGTTCATCATAATTTGTTTTCTAGTTGATTGATTTCTTGTAAGTAATGCAAATTGGTAAATTCAGGACAATCTTGGTGGTTTCTTTTTTAATTACAGGGGCTTATAATTGATAGCGACAAGGATAGCATTTTGAGAGGTCTTGATGATATCGAGAGACAGATTGAATCTGATAAATTTGAATGGAGGACTGATAGAGAAGATGTGCACATGAACATTGAAGCAGCTCTTACTGATCTAATTGGTGAACCTGCGAAGAAACTTCACACAGCACGGAGCAGAAATGACCAAGTTGCTACTGATTTCAGGCTTTGGTGTCGTGATGCTATCGATTCGATTATTGTCAAAATCAAGAATCTTCAGACAGCAATGGTTGCATTGGCTTTGAAGAATGAGGCTTTGATAGTCCCTGGTTATACTCATCTTCAAAGGGCTCAGCCTGTTTTACTTCCACATGTCCTCTTAACTTATGTTGAGCAGGTTTGGAATCTCTCCTCTGCTCAAGTTCTAATTTTCCTTTATGTTGGACTTTGTTTAGTTTTCTGGTTAGACTATGTTATAAAATTTAGCAGCACAAATGTACAACGGTATTTTGCTTTACGGGGTCCATCTTCTGTGTATTAGGCTTTCTTTTGTTATATGCATTGGTAGTATGTATGTACCTTTAAACTTGATAGGTTCTTACATTTACTGAGATCTCTCCGACACTATCATCTTATATGTATGTGTTTTCTCTTAGAAATCTACTCCTTGACTGGTATTTCTGTTTTATGTATGGCAGCTCGAACGTGATGCTGGTCGTTATATTGACTGTCGTGAGAGGCTAAATGTCTGTCCTTTAGGAGCTTGTGCTTTGGCTGGAACTGGTCTACCTATCGATAGGTTTATGACTGCAAGTGCTCTTGGATTTACCGAACCAATGAGAAACAGGTTTGTTCCTAGCTCTTGTATTGGTTACATCAACTCTCTGTACTTATCTTATTTCTTTTTGCGAGTTCCTCATTTGTGATTTCTTTTTCTCCTCTATCTCAACTAGCATCGATGCTGTTTCAGACCGAGATTTCGTGTTGGAGTTCTTATATGCAAATTCCAACACAGCCATTCATCTTTCACGCCTTGGAGAAGAGTGGGTACTCTGGGCCTCGGAGGAGTTTGGTTTCATGACTCCAAGCGATTCTGTGTCAACCGGAAGCAGTATAATGCCACAGAAGAAGAATCCAGACCCAATGGAGCTTGTCAGAGGAAAATCTGCTAGAGTCATAGGCGATCTGGTCACTGTCCTAACACTGTGCAAGGGACTTCCACTTGCTTACAACCGAGATTTTCAAGAAGATAAAGAACCGATGTTCGATAGTACAAAGACAATAATGGGGATGATCGATGTTTCTGCAGAATTTGCCCAAAATGTTACATTCAACGAAGAGAGAATCAACAAAAGTCTTCCTGCTGGACACCTTGATGCTACTACTCTCGCCGATTACCTTGTGAAAAAGGTAATAATACTGTTTTGATTTATCAAAATCTTCCATATTTTATAACTAAACCCAGTAAGATAATACTGTTTTGTTTGATTTCCAGGGGATGCCTTTTAGGTCATCTCATGACGTAGTTGGGAAACTAGTTGGAGTATGCGTCTCAAGAGGCTGCGAACTTCAGAACCTAAGTCTTGGAGAGATGAAAAAGCTGAGCCCTGTGTTTGAAGAAGATGTGTTTGGATATTTGGGCGTCGAAAATTCAGTCAATAAGTTCAGTTCCTACGGGTCAACTGGATCGAACTGCGTTGCTGAGCAACTTGGCTACTGGGTCAAGAAGCTGAACATTACTACCACCTGAGTCGGACCAGACCATTAGGAAAAGATTTGATGAAGCGATTCGGAGGAAGACATAAACATTGAGATGCATTCTCTTGCAATAAAACCCCAAAAAATATAAGTTTTGTTTAAGTTTCCTACTATATGAAACCGAGCTTGTTCAAGTACACTTTACGATATCATTTCAACCAATTAACTCTTTGTTCAAACTCAATTATTGTTAAAACATCCAATATATAT